TGTTATAGGCTACTTATTTTATAAAATCCGCGCTATTAAAATGGCGTAACGGGTGGTCCGATTTTGATAGGACTTTGTCTGAGGGCTGGTAGAAGGTAGATGCACGAGGGAATGTGATAGAAGACGTTTTTTTTAAATCTGCGCTAACGAAGTTTGCGGGCAACAGAACGTTTTATATAAATGTAACTAATATCTTAAGACACAAGTTGCAAGTTTTAAATATAAAGTAAATAGTCACATTACAATTTGAGATGTAACTTGCAGCATCGTTCATCTAATTACGAATACTGCGCTCCAACAGCCAGAGGTTTCGTGAAAACAGCTCCGCAACAACCCAAGCTAACGTTGCAATTAATGCTTTTAATTAAATTGAACAAGGTTCCGCCATTGATTAGCTCCGTATTTCGTAAAATATTTTACTTTTAAAACACTCTGTGTTTTTAACGTATTTTTATAGCGAAACTAAATTAGTCATTTAGGTATCTGGAATGTAAGTTTAGTGAAAAATCTAAATTAAGGAACTGCTTCCAAATCTATATATTGTCTTTAAGGGCCTCAGTAAGTGATCAATCTCGGACCCTACCTTCAACAAACACGTCAAAATATTAAAAATTCCATTTTAATAACAGTTCCCCAACGAGTAACTCAACATATTGCAACTCCACTAAAATTCCTTACAGTCTAAATATATTTAAAATATTTCAAAACCCCTCCTGCATTCGAGAGCAGAATCTGCACGAGAGAGTAATAACGATATTGTTAAAGAAAGTTTTTATGAAGAGCTCGGTGTTTGCTTAAGCAAAATCTACTCGTATGAGCAGAAATTGCTTCTGAGCGATTTTAAAACGTGGGATCAAGGAAACTTTGACCTATGCCATTTTGAAAATACGGCGATAATATATTTTAAAGATTTACTAACGTCATGTAGCCTTTATAATATGAAATCTACATTATTTTATCCGACTATCGGTGGTACACTGAAACGACATTTTGTTATATAACAGTGCTTTAATTGATAAGGCCAAGCTAAACTTCAATTTCTATTA